TGGCTAATGTTCCAGCCTCTAGTTCCTTGCTCAACCATGAAACGAACCTGTGTGAATGTTTTGTGGGTGAGCGTGGCCACACGGGAGCTGCACAGGGAACAGCAGCAGGCATCTCTAGCAGCTTGGCACAGAAAGTTATGTTTCTGCAGAGTAACTTAAATATATAGTTATTTACAACCCTTTTTACAGGTTTTGCATCTGAACTGTGACAGTTCCTTTTTTTTTTTTTTTTGTCATGTTACCTTGTGGTTTCTGGGCTAATAATCAAGTTACAAACTGAGAGCAAAGACGGAAAGAAAAGGAAGTGGGTTATCTGCTCAGCAGCTCTTTCTGTTCTCCCCCAGATAATTTGTGCTGCAAAAATGTTGTTACGTGGAGGTGGCTGTATAGAACCTTTCCTTTTGCACGTATGCTTAAAATACTGAACTTTAAATATAGTTTGTTTGCCAGTGTAGGTTTGTAACAGGAGAGGGACGAGCTTACCACCTTTTAATGGGTAAAAGCTTTCCTAGCTCTAAACCTTCACTTCTCTGTCATGTCAGAGCTATTATATTCTGTATTTAAATGTGGGCAACTAATTTTCCTCTTCCAGATTAAGCACTTTGTGGGCTCAATGCAAATTAGATGTCAGTTAAGGGGATGTGAAAATGATGAACCTTTGAATAATGTGGTAAAAGGAAGAAGATCTTGAAGTTCATGCAGTCGTTTAGGGAATCAAAATCAAACCAGCTTTTCAGTTCTGAAACTGGGGGGTTGCAGTGTTCTCTGCAGAACAGAGCTGCATGTCCTCACAGCCCGGGATCCTGGGCTCCACCCTCTGACTGCTCTAACAGTTCAGGCTGAGTAAGGAGCTGAAGAGCTGCTGCTCCAACAGGTATGGAGGCAGCACCCTCTGAATTCTAATGACACTGAAATCAGAGCAGGTGCCTTCAAGTGTCACAGTGCAAGCTAAAACTTCTGGCACAAGCATCTGGGGGTTTTGTGGAGCTGTAGGTAGGAATGAGGACCCTTCCCCTGTGGGGAAGGAACCCTGAAAGGAAGGAAAAGAACTCTTGGTGAAGCTAGGAAGCGTGAGTGGCTGCTCATGCCGTAGGGAAACCTGTCTTGTATTCAACACTTCAGACAACATGCATTTGACTCCAGGAAAGAAAAAAAAAATACGCTGTGATGGTTGTGGGATTTTTTTTTAAGGCATAGGTTAATATAGCATACACTATTAGACATTTGATTGTCCCAGATTTAACTCGCATGAAAAGCGTAGCACGTAAGGGTTGACCAAGCAAAATGGGAAGCAATAAACTCAATGCAGATAAAAGCAAAAGTGGAAAAATCTTTTTTTGATGTTCTGTGTGGCACATCTAAGTAACGTGAGTGATGCAGCTGGTGGAGTGAAGCCCTGAGTAACGTGTTAAAACCTCTGCTTGTCACAGATGGACCAGTCGTCCCCAGCCTACATGCTCGCCAACCTAACCCACCTGCACTCTGAGCAGCTCCTGCAGGGCCTGAACCTCCTTCGCCAGCACCACGAGCTCTGCGACATCGTCCTGAGGGTCGGCGACGCCAAGATCCACGCCCACAGAGCCGTGCTGGCCAGCATCAGCCCCTACTTCAAGGCCATGTTCACGGGGAACCTCTCGGAGAAGGAGAACTCGGAGGTGGAGTTCCAGTGCGTGGAGGAGGCGGCCCTGCAGGCCATCGTGGAGTACGCCTACACCGGCACCGTCTTCATCTCCCAGGACACGGTGGAGTCGCTGCTGCCGGCCGCCAACCTGCTGCAGGTGAAGCTGGTGGTGCAGGAGTGCTGCGCCTTCCTGGAGAGCCAGCTGGAACCCGGGAACTGCATCGGCATCGCCCGCTTCGCCACCTCGGCCGGCCGCGGCCTCTGCCTGGCTGCCAACAAGTACATCTGCCAGCACTTCGAGGAGGTGTGTCAGACGGAGGAGTTCCTGGAGCTGACGCGCGCCGAGCTGGATGAGATCGTCTCCAACGACTGCCTGAACGTGGTGACGGAGGAGACGGTGTTCCACGCCCTGGAGGCCTGGGTGAAGTACGACGTGCGGGAGCGGCAGAAGCACCTGGCCCAGCTCCTGCACTGCGTCCGCCTGCCGCTGCTCAGCGTCAAGTTCCTCACCCGGCTGTACGAGGCCAACCACCTCATCCGGGACGACCACACCTGCAGACTGCACCTGCAAGCGCCTGCGGAACGAGTCCCGCAAGTACCACTTCATGCCGGAGCACAGGCTCTCCCACCAGACCGTGCTGATGACGCGGCCACGCTGCGCCCCCAAAGTCCTGTGTGCCGTGGGGGGCAAGGCCGGGCTCTTCGCCTGCTTGGAGAGGTGGGTCGTGGGCAGGCTGAGGCAGCACCTGGGTGCTGTCGTCTGTCTCTGTCTTTAAAATACTTCTTGGCTCTGAGGGTGGCCGAGCCTGGAGCAGACAGGCTCTCCCACCAGACCGTGCTGATGACGCGGCCACGCTGCGCCCCCAAAGTCCTGTGTGCCGTGGGGGGCAAGGCCGGGCTCTTCGCCTGCTTGGAGAGGTGGGTCGTGGGCAGGCTGAGGCAGCACCTGGGTGCTGTCGTCTGTCTCTGTCTTTAAAATACTTCTTGGCTCTGAGGGTGGCCGAGCCTGGAGCAGGCTGCCCAGAGAGGTTGTGGAGCCTCCTGCTCTGGAGAGACCCCAAACCTGCCAAGACACCACCCTGGGCACCCTGTTGTGGGTGACCTGCTGGAGCAGGGGGTTGGACAAGGTGATCCCCAGAGGTCCTCTCCAACCCCACCATGCTGGGGTTGCCCTGGGTCAGGACTGGGACAGTCCTGCTGCAGAGCTGTGCTTTGTAGGACTGCAGTTACTGCTCTCTTTCATAAGAACTTTTGGATAGATTGTCTGGGTTTGTGGTCTTTTTTTTCTGAACAAGGACGAGCACCGAGTTCAAAATGCTTTTTGATTTCGTGAGTAATCTTCAGTGACAAGGATTTTGTTTGTGCCAACACAGACAGCAGTAAAATCTTATTTTAATTCTGTTGATTGAGAATTTGATTAATAAACATGGTTGATAGAAGTTTGTACACTACTTCTTTATCCTTTCAGGTATTTTACATAATTTTCCCCTGATCTATTGTTATTCCAGACAATCAAACCATAAAATTAAACTAATGCAGGACAAATATGCTCCCTGATAACTCAAAAGTCCTTGGAAATAGAGCAGACTTAATCAGAGACAAGTGAAAGGTAATTCTTAGCAGTGTCACGCTCTGGATCATCACGAGATGATCCTTTAATCACCCTCTAATCTCTGCTGCTGAGCACGTACCGCTGCCCGTGCTGGCAGGAACGGGTGAGTGCCCCTCTTCCCTCAGCCCGAGCTCAGACTGAGTCTCCTCTTCAGTTATGGGAGGCTGATCCTGTGAGCAAAGGGAGAGTAACAGAGAGAAAACCAGCTCTCTTCCCATACTGGTGTAACTGGGTTTGTTATAACATTGTGTTAGCAGCTCCAGAAACAGGAGTTAAACTGCATGTGGGGCTGGGTGTGTGTGTGGAGTGCTGTGGTGTGAGTGCACCCCCAGCAGCTCAGGAGACCCTCTCTGTGCAAGGCAGGCTGCCCTGACCAGCTCTGCAGCTCGGTTCTGGGTCATATTTTACTCTGAGATGTTCTTTTCTGGGGCAGTTCTGTGCTCACACATATGTGCGTGTAAACTTAAAGAAACCTGGGAGATCTGTCCTTTGCCCCTCTCAGAGATGTTGTCAAAGTTAGTTAAAGTGAACTCCCCTTGTAATAGGGATTGCTAGTGAACCAAATATGGGGATGGGGAATTGAGTTTATAGATTTAAAAAATAAAGGCTGTTTTGTGCTTAATAAAAAAATCTCAGTGAGTGAAGTCACCCTCCCATGTTCTTCAGCTGTTTCTTTCACAGCTTCTTCAGTGGTTGTAACAATATTCCATACCAATCTAGATTGGATTATTTTTTGGTTTTAAATGAAAGCACAAAAACCATTTTTCAAATCAGCTCTATCTACTTTAACATTTTTTTTAAATTATACAGTGTATGTTAGAAGCATTTATAAAACTACAGACTGCTTTCTAAGCATGTGGTTGCAGGTATGCATAAAGTTGTGCTTCCCCCTCTAATTCTCCTTTTCTCTGAGGCTGTTTTGACTGTTTTTTTTTTTTTTTTCAGTTCACCCTTCTTAGCTCTTTGGTTTGTACTTTTAGCTTGCCTCAGAGACAGCCTGCCTCCAAAAGCTGCTGTGGCTGCAGCTCTGCCTGTCTTCCTTTGTGGTATCCCCTCCCTGCCCTGCCTCCCCCTCAGTCTGCCTGGTCTGCACTTCCCAAACCCATCATTGCAGGTCTCGGGCTTGGTATGGTGGCTGCACCACGCTGTGAGCCCTGGGCTTTAACTCTTCAGGACAGTCGGCAGCGTTTCAGTTTAGCTTCATTTGGGCTATTGGAAGGCACAGCAAATGTTGGGTGGGACACGTGAACTCGTCTTCTGTGTTCTCGATGCCCGTGTGCACGTCACGGCGCCTCAGGAGAGGAGGTTTGCTCATGGTCCTGGCTTCTCTCTTCCAGCGTGGAGATGTACTTCCCCCAGAACGACTCCTGGATCGGGCTGGCTCCCCTCAGCATCCCCCGCTACGAGTTCGGCATCTGCGTCCTCCACCAGAAGATCTACGTCGTGGGGGGCATCGCCACCCACGTGTGCCAGGGCATCAGCTACCGCAAGCACGAGAGCTCGGTGGAGTGCTGGGACCCCGACACCAACACCTGGACGGCCCTGGGCAGGATGTGCGAGAGCCGGAGCACGCTGGGCGTGGCCGTGCTGGCCGGGGAGCTCTACGCCCTGGGCGGCTACGACGGGCAGTCCTACCTGCGGACGGTGGAGAAGTACATCCCCAAGGTGCAGGAGTGGCAGCCCGTGGCCCCCATGAACAAAACCAGGAGCTGCTTTGCGGCGGCCGTCCTGGACGGGATGATCTACGCCATCGGCGGCTACGGGCCCGCCCACATGAACAGGTAGGGGCTGGGCTGGCAGCTGGGGAGCAGCACTGCTCCCCGGGCACCCCGAGGGCAGCAGCCACCTACCAGTCCTCCTAAAGCAGATTGGTAAACTGTTAGTCCTCATCCTGCAGCATCAGTCTGAGAATTCAACTGGAAAGTCTTTATTTTAACTTCTCTTTACGTGTTCCAACTCGTTGCTGGTTTGTTTGGGGTTTTGTTTTGGTGTTTTTTTTTTCTTTTTTAATACTTAAGAAGGGAAACTAGTAAAGCCAAAGGTCTCTGCATGTTACCAAGCAAGGCGGTAACACCTGAGCTGGTGAACTCAGCAGATCAGTGTGGTGTGACCTTACGTGCCCAGGCCCCGAGGTCGTGTCCGTGTGTCTGTGCTGTGGTGCTGTGCCCTGGTTACTGAGCTTGCTCAGCCCTGTGCCAATGCTACATGAAAGCCTTGTGCCCCAAGCTTGCAGGGTGTGATAGCAACAGGACAAGGGGCATTGGCTTCACACTGGGGGAGAGGAGATTTAGATGAGGTGTAAGGAAGGAGTTTTTCACCGTGAGGGTGGTGAGACCCTGGCACAAGTTGCACAGGGAAGTTGTGGATGCTCCATCACTGGAGGTACTCAGGCTGGACAGGGCCTCACATGACCTGCTCTAGTGGGAGATGTCCCTGCCCATGTCAGGGGTTTGGAACTAGATGATCTTGAAGGTTCCTTCCAACCCAAACCATTGTCTGATCCTATAAATATTAGGACACATGGTCAGCTTTAACACTTAAACAACTGATTTGAAATAAATAGGAATTTTCACATGCTTAACATACACAGAAATAAATACTTCAGGTGGAATCTGCAGGAAGCGAGTGAATAAACTACAAGACTAAATATCTGAGTAAAGAGTAAAAACTAAAATCTTGCATGTAGGAAGGGATGCATTGATTGTTAACAGAGGAGGTTCACAACATTGCACTAGTTGTTAATTGCCCTTTTTATACGTGATACTTCTTTATATAAAATAGTTTCTGAAGCAGAGGATTAGTTCCCAGGTAGGAAAGTATAGCAAAGTAGTTTCCATTTGGAAAATACAAACAATTTTGTTAAGTTGCAGAAATAAAACCAGCAGTAAATGAAACCACTTGGTTGTGACAGGATTTTATGAAACTCGATGTGACATTGTTCTGATTTCTTATATTTAAAGTTAGGAGCTGTAACAGCAGCTGCAGTATTTAATAGAGAAGCAAAGCATCTCTGAGAATCACCTGCTGACTTGAGGATTTCTTCATCTGGGAATTTGACCTGGAGGAATTAAGCTGTGGTTCCTCCTAGCTCCTTGTACCACGCAGGACTCCTGGCTTTAGTGGTGGCTTCACACAGAGTCACCAGCAGAGCAGAGCAGTTCAGGAGTTTACTGTGGCGCCTCTGGGATCCTCTCTCCACTGCAGCCTTGCTGCACGGACCCTAAAAAAGGGCAGATAATCCCTGGCTCTTGCCAAACGTGGTTCCCTAAAGCTGAATGCTCAGTGTGCACCCAGGAGAACTGGGTAACCTCCTTGCAGGAGATGTGAGACGTGGCTGGAGCATCAGGAGATGTCTTTATGGAGCTGGTACCTTGGAAGGAAAGCTCTTAGCAACCACAAAATCCTGCAGGAGCCTTACTCCTTGTACCGTGTCTCTTCCTCACTCAGAACACAATTGCCAGCAGCACCTTTAGAGTTACTCGAATCTGATATTTCATTATTTGCATTCTTTAATTTGCTTTTCACTGAATAATTTTGGTATAGTAATTATTCAAGAGCAGGAGTAATAGGCTGTGCCCTGCCATTGCTGGAGTTGTGCAGGCTCAGGCAGGAGGAGAAAGCTGGCTGCTGTGTAGTGCTCTCTGTAGTGCTTCTGATTTTCTCTTTCCTCTTTTACCCCCTTGTGCTCCTGCAGCTGTGCTCTGGGCTGGGCACAGCCACGTGCCATGAGTGTGGTAATGACTGGGACCACCTCTACACCTCCAGTGATTAACAGTAATGAAGATAAATCATTTTATCCCAAAGTCCTCTTTGATTTGTAGTGTTTGATCAGCAGGCTCTTTGCTGCCCTTCCCAAGAGATGTGCTCCCCAAACCTCCTTCCTCTCTGCCCGTTACTTCCAGGGCAGCCTCTGGGAGGTTTTCAATGTGACGTGTTACCCCAGTGGAGACACTTCAGACCTGTGCTGTGTGCAGCTTTTCACAAGTTGCTGGTTTTATAAATACCAGCAGTCCTCTTTGAAAGAGCTTTCAGCTCTGAGGCCAGCTCTGGCAGCTCTTGCTTAGTTCTGGTCTGGAGCCTGGTGATCCAGTGGCATGGGGGCATCAGGGAAGTGGCGGAACCGCAGCCACCGTGTCAGGCTGAAAGATCTGAAATCTGGGTTTTGGCAGCACTCTCTTGAGACCATCCTGCTGCTTTGTGTTGTGGAAGGAGGGCAGGATGTGACTGATGGTTCTGAGCTGGTACCACTGGCCTTGGGTAGTGCAGAGCAGCCAGGCCACAGTTTGTGTTGTGCTACTCCCCTGCGTGGTGACGTTGGTTGGCAGAGCTAGATCCACCTCTGACAACCCCGGGTTGCCCGTGGGGTGACGTTGGGGTGTCCCTGGGGGCCCAGGCTCACCTGCTGTTGGTGTGTCTGCAGCATGGAGCGCTACGACCCCAGCAAGAACTCGTGGGAGACGGTGGCTCCCATGGCCGACAAGCGCATCAACTTCGGCGTGGGCGCCATGCTGGGCTTCATCTTCGTGGTGGGGGGGCACAACGGTGTCTCCCACCTGTCCAGCATCGAGAGGTACGACCCCCACCAGAACCAGTGGACCGTCTGTCGACCCATGAAGGAACCCAGGACAGGTAGGGACCCACAAAACTCTCACTTGGGTGTCCTCTCAGGAATAAACTGCCACAGTGAGGTGCAGTGACTCATGTGCAGAGCGTTGCACTTTGTCTGTGAATGGGGATCACTTACTCTGTGCAAAACGATGAGGGTTTATTTCTCTCCTTCCAGTTACAGTCCAGTTTATTAATACTGAGCTAGAACCAGAACAATACAAAGTAGTATTTCTACTCTGCTTTCTGTTTTTTCATTGGTTTTGAGTGAGTTTCAGCAGTTCTGTGGTTGCTGCTCTGTTGTATTCTGTGTTACTTTGAGACTCAGTAGCACAGCCTCTCTCTGTCTCCCTGACAAGGAGCACTGAGACAGGAGAGTGTGGCTCACTCACAGGAAAGGATGTGAGAACTCTGATAAAGGAGTGCAAGACCTGAACGGAGAGGGGCTGTTCAGGGCCACCCATTTCCTTTAAAGAGCCCAGGGAATGCTGTGAGGACTCGTCTGTCCATCCTTCAGGTGGAGGGAGGGTTCCAGCTGGGAACACACCAGCCCTTGCTCCCACTTGCTGGTGGGGGTGTGATGGTTTGGTTCCGTTTGTCTCCCCGCAGGTGTCGGCGCGGCTGTGATCGATAACTGCCTGTACGTCGTTGGGGGTCACTCGGGGTCCTCCTACCTGAACACTGTCCAGAAGTACGACCCCATCTCAGACACCTGGCTGGACTCTGCTGGCATGATGTACTGTCGATGCAATTTTGGCTTGACTGCACTTTGATGAGGAGCACGACTGCGGACCCGATGTGAAGGTGGAGCTTACCCTGCCTGGAGCAAACCCTGCTGCTGGAGGACACGGGCTGTGTCTTCTGGAGTGGAGGAATGTGGGCGAGTTGGGGCTGAAACAAGGAAGGATGGTTTTGTTTTCTCCCAGTAACTGGCCGTGGTTCCTTTGGGGACACGGGCAGGAAGAACAGCAGGTGTGATCCCAGCTGGGTTTAGGTGGCGTCCTGGTCACGGCGGTGAATGTTAGAGAGGACTGAGATGTGGTTAGAAAAATTACTCTGTATCTAACCCGTTCACTTTCTAGAGCTCTTCTCTCTCCCTCCTGCCTCCTCTGAAACATGAAGTTTACTGTGCTTGGGGTGAGAGGTGTGTGAGTGTGTGCTGTGACTGAGGGTTTGTTGGTGGCTGGCTGGGTGTGTCTTCATGCACGACAGTGCTTCATCCTTTTTTTATGAACAGTAACTAAAGGGCTGCCTTGTTTCTGTATCTCAAGGTTTGTAAATAATAAATGCCATAGTATGTTGCCTGTACGCTCTCCTTTGTTACCTGCTTGCTGGTAGGAGGGCTGGGATGGTCGTTAGGAACTACTCCGAGACATTTACAAGGCAAATCTGTTGCCTCAACAAAATTTTTGGATCTGATGAGGAGAAATCACTCTTTGAACTTCCCTCTACATTTTCTTTTTGTGGGAAAATGAGCGCTAGGTTAAATGACTTAGTCTTACTGGCCCACTGTGTGTTTTCAATTGCAATGCAAGGAGAAATTACCTTGTCCTGCAACTTCTGATGTAACACATTTGAAGGTGCCACAGCAGCATTTGTAGCATGACCTGAAATAAATGCTCCTAGATGAATCCGTCCCACCCTTCCCCCAGGCATGCTTCTGTCCCTGTTCCATACAACTCCCTTTTTTAAAAGAATGTATGACTGCTTTCTCAGAGTGTTCTGATTTAAACATGGTGCTACACGTGGGACTTCACAGGGAGGCTGTCACGGACTGTGGCACAGCGTGTGCTTGTTTGGGTGGTTCTGGGGAGTTGGTTTATTTGCTTGATACATCCGTGCCTATGAAAACTGTGCAGAGTAACACAACATGCTGACTGAGCTCTGCTCATTATCTTTGTTTCCAGAAGATCTACGTTTATGGCTCCTCTTCTCCCAAATACATAAACAGGGAGTGGATGGTGAGCTCCCACCTGGGGTTCTTGGCTCTTGCCTTTAGGGTATGCTGCAGTGCTGGGGGGCAGGGCCATGGCTCTAAGCCCCCTGCGTCCTGTGTGACAGGCAGCAGAGCTCCTGGGGCTGGCCAGGGTCTGGAGGGGTCCAGCTTCCTGATAGCCCTCAGCTTAGTGAAAGTTTGAGCAGAGAAGTCAAAGGCAATGCTGTGGGTTAGAGCCATTGTTTAAGGTAGATGACTGAATAAGTAGGAATTTTAGCTAATTTAGAATGGTTTGGTTTGTCTTCTGATTTTAACTAGGAATCAGGATTATCTTCTGTGTTTGTTTTGGTGTCTATACATGTGTTGCCAGGCCTGGTACTAAAGAATTTTTCTGCCTCCAGAGCTATTTCCTCTTGTTTTAACATGTTAAATTAATGTTTGTTTCCCTTTGTTTTTCAAGCCTGTCTAGTATTACTTTTTGAAGGTGCAATAATATTTGAAATAGTTGCTTTAAAAGCCATTTCTTTACCTGGATGCTAAGCAGAGGGGTCAAACGTGCATGATCTATTCCCAGTTCCTGCAGAGCCAGGCAAGCAGCAGAGTTCTGTTCTTCCACACCCTGGCATTCAGGGGCTGAAGAGACAAGGAGAGGATGAGGCTGTTTTTCACAGGTAGCAGGTGTTTGCACAGGTCATAAAATCCTGCAGGTCCTCTTCAGGTTGGGTTGTATCCAGCAGGACTTTAAAAGCAAATAAAAGGAACGATTTAATGTTTTCAGTGCAGTTGGTTTGACCCACTGAGGATTCCAGTGGCACAGCAATAAGAGCATGCTTTAGTTACTCCAGTGAGTCTGTTGGGAGGACACGTGGAGCTGCGTGGGGGTGTGCTGCATGTTTTTTGGGGTGGGGAAGGAGGAGGAGCAGGGCTGAGGCCTGAGGGAGGTGTTCAGCCTGGAGCCTTCTCGCTCTGTCCAGGCGAATGCACCAGCCAAGGGCTCACGTGCTGCTTTGTTTTTTAGTCTCTGACAGAGATGATGTTGATCTTCATGTTTTCCAGTATGCACCACAGATGCTTAAAGATGCTTAAAGTAGTAGGTGTATAAAAAAACTCCTTACTTGGAGAAGTTTGTGTTTTGTTGACAGGAGGCTTTCCTCACAGCTGAGTGTGTACCATACCTTTAGAGCTTAACTAGGAGAAGGCTTCCTGAATGAAGGTGCTCATACACAGGTTCTGGTTGGAATTACTAGTAAACACCTTCTTCAGTTAGTACAAAGTGGTGCAGGGCACAGAAATCGTTCTGACTTCAACAGAACAAAACATCTCTAGGTTGTGGATGTTACTTGGGGTTTATTTGGGTTAGACTGAGCTTTAAAGGTCCCTTCCAACATGAAACATTCTGATTTATAGGAACATCTTTCACTTGTGGAAGTCAAAGCGCTTAAAATTGCAAAATGTTTCACCTGGGCAGCAGCAGTGTTAAATTAGGGCATAGAGATTGACCCCATGTTGTGTAAAGTGGTGTTGATACATTTCAGGTAGCAGCATGAACAATTTAAGTGTGCAGGCCTGGTGTGGAGAATGGGAAAAATGCCTCATGAAATACACTGCTGATACTAGATGAGCTGTTCAGCTGGAAGCAGATGGAACTGGGTGTCAGCCTAGGGAGCGTGTCACTGAAAATCACTTAAAGTCTTTGTGTTCTGTTCTGGGTGCTGCTTGTCCTGTCCACTGAAGTGCTTGGTTCTAGGGAGAGCAGACACAATCCATTTAAATCTGCATTAAAGAACAACACTCTCACTGTAACGTCTGTCTCGCAGTTCAGAAGTCAAGGACCTGCAAATAAGATGTCATACAACTATAAATTATCATCCAGTTCAACTGTAAATCACTCAAAACTATCTGTGAAGCACTTTAGAGTGGGTCTGAGTTTGTGTGTACATACAGTCCCTGACTTTCTGCTGTTTTTAGTTGAGATACTCATCTGTAAGCTCCTCCCCAGTCTCCTGCTGGGAATGCTGGTCTCTCTGGAAGCCAGGCTGGAATTTCTCGAGGGGTGGATGCACCCAGTGCACCTTACACCAGGTAACTGCTCCTGGGAGGCAGCCTGGCACTCCTGGGAACCTGCCCCACCAAGTCCCCATTCACTCCATGGAACAATGCAAAATGTCCAGACTTGCCTTAAATTCCTGCTCTTTAACTGAAAAGCAAAGAACTGGATGATAATTCCTATTTTTTTGCCTTATGCTCTGTGCTGTATTTTAAACCCAAGGGTAACTATAATTTTTAGCAGCATTTAAAAACTGCACAGAAAATACCAAATTGTACTCGGACTTGACCAGAGTGCTTTGGTTGGAGTATGAGATGACCTCTGTAGCTCTGTGTGGCTGGGGTGTGTTTCTGTGTCCCTCTCTCAGCAGTGCCCTGGGGTGTTGCTGTGGGCAGCAGGGGGTCTGGGCTCAGCAGCGGTCTCATCTCGCGGTCGCCGTGTCTCTGCTCTCCTGGCAGTGCTCTCTAAGTACCCTTGTACCTATTTCCTCCAATGTGAAACAGTTTAGTAAATAAACCTGGGGAAAAAAACTTAGTTTTAGACTTTTTGTTGGGTGGTGAATGGAAACACGCTGGAGCTTTAGTCTGACGGGGTGATGTGAGCCCCAGGGGGAGGTGGAGCAGGAGGAGCTCTCCCCACCCTGGGAGACCCTGACCCCAGCAGCCACGTTACTGGAACTCTACCCCACGGGTGTTAGAAGCTCCCATGGAAGAGGACTGCAGCGTGTGGCTTGCCCCCACCTGGCTGTTCCTGCTGGCCTGGCAGAAGGGCACACTCTGGAGAGCTCAGGGGCAAGCTCTGCTCTGCTGGGGCAGGCTGGCCTCACTGAGTGGCTCCAAGAGACACAGTCTGCTCAGGGTCTGCAGCTGGGTAACACTGCTTTACTCTGAGAGCCCCTCACAGCTCGGGTTTGGGTGGTGCTTTCACCTCAGGGGACAGTTCCTATGAAGGAACAACGGGCACTTTTCTCTCTGTCTGGGAAATGGGAATATAAGCTTTGGCAACTGTGCAGTGAAATTCCTTTTTTTTGCTGTCTTAATATTAACAGCTCACATCTTTGCATAGCTGAGAGTAGGGATGGGTGTGCTGAATTTGCTTTCCTGCCAAGGGCCTCGGTTCAGCTTCAGGCTGCTGCCATGGGAGCTGCAGTTGAGCACTGGCACTCACAGGTACAGTGCTGTCCATAAAACACACAGAGTCGTGTAATCTGTGAGCTCCAGCTAGAACACACTGCCTCTTGCAGTCTGAGTTGTGCTGAAGGGGAATACTCGGGTGATTTTCCTGAGGGGGAAAAAGAAAATAAATGCACATAGGTGTGGCAGATATTTCAAAACCCATTGGATAGATAGGAGATCTGTATTTGCTTCCCAGGGCAGTTCTGACCTCTCCCCCCTGCACTGCTGGCCCCTTCTCCCCCCAAGTATAGAAGGCAGCTTATGATCAATTTTTTTTTTTTACCCAGATACTGCTTTAGTTTACTCCTAATGCACTTTCCCAAGCTCCAGCACATACAGGGTCAGAGTAAGATGGCACAAAAATGATTATTGCACTGTAAAGTGAGACATACCCAGTCATTTAAAGTGCCTTTCCATCATACTGAACTTCGTCCGAATTAAAAATTGCAGTGATGATGTCTTAATGACTCTGAAAAGTAATTTTTAAGGGCTAGAGAGCTTACCAGCTGCCCAGGCTGCAGACTCCATGCCTGAGTATTCCCCAGCATCTCAGTAATTCTGAAATGCCTTTGGCAAGTGAGATTTGGGGACAGTATTGCCAAGTCTTCAGCTTGT